GATCCCATCAATGTGATTAACGATCCACTCTTTACATATACACGTGCCCGTATTCCCGTGTATCCACCGGAAAAAAAAATTGTAGCTTGACGACGTAGGCAAATCACAACATCTGCCACCAAGCTTCTGCAGGTGTCGACAACACCCTCACCAGCTCAAGCACTAAGTCACTCTTAGACAGTTTCACGTCAGAATCTCCAAGTCGAATTGACACACCAGCTGCTATGCACAGCTTGCGCAGCTCTTCAATGCTCTTTCCATTAAGCTGTGACTGTAACCTCTGCTGACCTCCAGTCTCGCATTCCATCCGCAGATTTTGCAGAGCCCGCTGCAGCGGAAGGCGACCACTGGAGGAAGAAGACGAAGCCATGGCTATAAAAAGCTACACAAGATTTCGAAGGTCCAACATGATTTCATACGGTTGAATTGGTTGCGCTGGCGGGATTCGAACAACTTCCGGTCTCGCGCCAACGCAACTGATCTATGTATAAAGTCGATGGTACCTACGTAAGATACGTTTGTTTCATGAGCTCCATTGATCGCACGGTTGAATTGGCTGTGCTGGCGAGATTCGCACAACTCGCGGTCTCGCGCCAACGCCACTGATCTATGTATAAAGATACGTTTGGCTCATGAACCCTACCGACCACACGGATCGGATTCTGCCGACCGTCGATCGAGAATAAGCGAGTCCACTTGCCTTCGAGCCATACGACACAAAGGTCAATGATGCTGATCATGTTAAAAGCTGTCACCGTCATGATGATGCCAACAAAGGAAAAAATTCAAGCAGCTGTAACAACAAATCTGATGCTGATCATGCTAAAGCCGTCACCGTCATGCCGACGCAAACGACGGAATGAATCCAATCAGCTACAATAACACATCGAGTCAGCTGGGTCTATTTCAAGCCAAGTATACAAATACAACACAACCTGAAACACATGTAACTCTCATGCCGTGAAAGAAAATATGACATGACATCAAATATGAAAATATGATGTGCCATGAGATGATGATCTCACGATACGCACGTGATATGCTATTGTGATCATGAGCTAACGATGAGGTCGATGACCATTGCAATGACGTAGCTGCTGGTAATGATGATGATGATGATGGTGCTGACGACGATGATGATGATAATGATGATGATGATGATGTGGATGATAAGGATGATGATGATGATGATGCTGATGATGATGATGAAGGTGATGATGATGATGATGATGATAATGATGATGATGGTGCATGTCGCCAGGCACGGTTTACACCACACGTTGTTTACGCCAGACGAAGTAACCATGGAAAAGTTTACACCAGACAAAGCCGACAAAGGTTTACACCAGAGAAGAGTTTACACCAGACATCGATTACACCAGACACCGTCTATACACCAGACACGGTTTACACCAGACGTCGTTTACACCAGACAAGGCCAACAAAGGTTTACACCAGAAAGAGTTTACAGCAGAGACAGTTTACACCAGACAGCGTTTACACCGGACATCGTTTACACCAGACAAAAAGGTCTTACCGCAGACGAGGTTTACACCAGACAAAACCGACAAAGGTTTACACCAGAAAGAGTTTACAGCAGAGACAGTTTACACCAGACAGCGTTTACACCAGACACCGTATACACCAGACGTCGTTTACACCAGACAAAGCCAACAAAGGTTTACAC